TCATTATCTTCCATCCCCTCCCTCAATGTCTTCCATTCCCTCCCTCATTATCTTCCATCCCCTCCCTCATTATCTTCCATCCCCTCCCTCAATGTCTTCCATCCCCTCCCTCATTATCTTCCATCCCCTCCCTCAATGTTTTCCATCCCCTCCCTCAATGCCTTCCATCCCCTCCCTCATTATCTTCCATCCCCTCCCTCAATGTCTTCCATCCCCTCCCTCATTATCTTCCATCTCCTCCCTCAATGTCTTCCATCCCCTCCCTCATTATCTTCCCTCCCCTCCCTCAATGTCTTCCATCCCCTCCCTCAATGTCTTCCATCCCCTCCATCAATGTCTTCCATCTCCTCCCTCAATGTCTTCCATCCCCTCCCTCATTATCTTCCCTCCCCTCCCTCATTATCTTCCCTCCCCTCCCTCAATATCTTCCCTCCCCTCCGTCAATATCTTCCATCCCCTCCCTCAATATCTTCCATCCCCTCCCTCAATATCTTCCATCCCCTCCCTCATTATCTTCCATCCCCTCCCTCATTATCTTCCATCCCCTCCCTCAATGCGTTCCTCATAACATGAGAACAGCAGGTGATGGAGGAAGGAGCTACTAATGGGGTCGAGGGAGCTACAGTACTATAACGGGGTCGAGGCCTGGCTACCCAGACATCTGTCAGCACCTGCTCGCAGATGCCAGCTGTGCATAATTCATAAATAAAACTATATTTGTTTAATTAACAAATAGGAAACTATAAAACATGTTATAGATTAATAATGTATAGTTATATACGAAAATTAACATATTTTGGCATAAATATTTTACAACTAAGATTACAAAATTTAATACAGTATGGGGTGAGAGGTTTGGCACCACCGCCTTGGTCAGCAATTCTGCCCTCCGCCTTCCTTACCACCACCCCTCTCCCTCCCTCACTACCACCACCTATACTCTCCCTGCCTCCCTCAACACCACCCCCTCTCCCTGCCTCCCTCAACACCACCCCCTCTCCCTGCCTCCCTCAACACCACCCCTCTCCCTGCCTCCCTCAACACCACTCCTCTCCCCTGCCTCCCTCAACACCACTCCTCTCCCTGCCTCCCTCAACACCACTCCTCTCCCCTGCCTCCCTCAACATCACCCCTCTCCCTGCCTCCCTCAACACCACCCCTCTCCCTGCCTCCCTCAACACCACCCCTCTCCCCTGCCTCCCTCAACACCACCCCTCTCCCTGCCTCCCTCAACACCACCCCTCTCCCTGCCTCCCTCAACACCACTCCTCTCCCTGCCTCCCTCAACACCACTCGTCTCCCTGCCTCCCTCAACACCACTCGTCTCCCTGCCTCCCTCAACACCACTCCTCTCCCTGCCTCCCTCAACACCACCCCTCTCCCTGCCTCCCTCAACACCACCCCTCTCCCTGCCTCCCTCAACACCACCCCTCTCCCCTGCCTCCCTCAACACCACTCGTCTCCCTGCCTCCCTCAACACCACTCCTCTCCCTGCCTCCCTCAACACCACCCCTCTCCCTGCCTCCCTCAACACCACCCCTCTCCCTCCCTCCCTCACTACCACCACCAATACTCTCCCTACCACCCTCACCACCACCCCCAACACTCTCCCTGCCTCTCCCCCTCAATGCCTCCCTCCATCAATCACTGCCTCCCATCCCTCCCTCAAGGCCTTGGAGGTCGGTGGCCTGTTGCCACGTGAGGGGCCGCCGATGCCAAAACAAACTCAATACCGACCTTCGGTAATATCGACCGCCAGACTGGTATATGAGGGTCCAGATACCGATCTCCCAAACCGGTCGTTATTACCGGTAGATCGGTATAAAAGAGGCCGTTAAATTGAGTGGATACTGTAATATCTTTTTAGCAACTCTCGCCTGACAGCTTGGGTGGAGCAGACCGTCTCCGACGCTTGCTGTGTCAACACCAGACTGTGTCTTTTTGCCAGACTTCCCCCCCCCCCCCCCCCCTCCCCTATTGCGACCAAAATATGCCACCTACAATTTTATTATTATGTTTCCTGTGCTCAGGGAATAGAATTAACACTTTTATAAGACTAAAATAAATTTTTGAATATTTTTTTTGTGCGTGGCGGTGTTGAAGGCATTAACCACGGTGCTGTGCCGAGTTTATTGTGAGATTCCCCCTGTGCGCATGAAATAAAGTGTTCCCCCAAATTTTTTTTTTCTTCGTAAAATTATAAATTCCTTTCCCTGAACATGCTATGTAAAAATAAATACCAAATTCCATTTACTTTGGTTGAGGGGACGTGGACTAGGTGCACTGTGAAGTCATCAGGGCCTGGTTGCCCATGTGTGACTCGCCCAAACACGGTCGCGCTTGTCATTCAAGCACCGGGTGTTGCCACAAATATATTTTCAATTATTTGTTCTATGTATTTCCAATGTGGATTTTATTTGTTTTTTCGTATATGATGCATATTTGTGTCATTTACAGTATGTATACAGTAGAACGTTCATAATGTTCCATGGAACTGTGATACATGTGTCAGTAATGTGTCCACAATAAATGTTTATTGTCGCAATATTACTTGTTAAAAATTCACTAAAATTACAATATGTACAGTTTCACACACTATTTACACAGTAACACACTGTATTACACACTCAGTACTTCAGAAGTGAGTAATAATCAACGAAGTAGTCCATGGTACACAGCGCAACTTTGCTCTCGTTGCACCAGGTACAGATAGATTTTCGCTTCCTGTTTCTTTGTTCTTTGTACTTGCAAATAACGCAATCACGTACACCCATGGTATTAGTACCTGTAGGTGGTATGTAGCCAAGCTTGTAAAACGTAAGGTAGTCTTGAAAAGATTACAGGAAAAGATCAATTTGTAAGGTAGTCGTGAAAAGATCACTTTGTAAGGTCCCACACAGGAAGAGATTTAGCCAGCCTCAAAGAGTGTCTGTCAGTCAAGAAGAGATTCAGCTATTCTTGAAAATATCTATGGAAAACACCACCATGGATGCCGCTAACACTGTTCATCTATGCTACCTGTATCAGATGCATCATCACTGAACGCAGAAAATGATTCATTTATGTATCATCTAAATAAATTGTAGATAGCATAGCATAGGTGGGCAAGGATGGCGCTCAAAGCTACAATTGGATACGCTGCTGTATCGTCCTCATAGGTGCTGTATCACTTGCATCAGACCTTTGTGTTAGGTCATTATTGTGCCTAGCTTCACCAATATTATGACCCTTATGTTCTTCAAACAATAAGGTTTGAATTTCACCGACAGCGTGCGATCTTTCAACACCGCGATGGACAGGTGTTTAGAAGCCAGAGGCGTGTGTGCCAACCATTGTCGCTCACTCAGTACTAACCCAGCCAGCAGCCCTAGGGCATTCTTTTTTTTTTCCCGAGATGGCTGCCTCTCACTGGAGGTCCTAAAAGTCCATTTCGTACACAACCAACCTTGTACACATTTAGAATGGGTACGAAAAAATAAAAAAGTGTTTTCTCGGTTGGCGCAGTTTCCCGCCGACCGAGAATACTCGGTTGGCGCAGTTAAGTGGCTAAGGCCCAGAGCAGCACAAGGATTAAGGGTTAAAAAGGTCAAATTAACTTTACTCTAGGTTGATGTTTTTAGATTTTGATTTCTTTGATGTTTAGCCTTTACAAATAAGCATGGTTTCTATGAATTAGATGTAAAATAAGTAAATAAATGTAACAACATTGTAATGAAATGCTTCTCTCTGGAGATGCAGAAATGCATCTTGGTTACTCCCTGTTTGTAGCAACATTGCAGTTGTTTCATGCTAGTAGTATGTCACATCAGCCCATGCAAGTCATTAAAAGTTTATCAGGTAAAGTAGCCATAACTTGGCTCCCCTCAATGAAGCACAGAGAAGGGAAATATATGATCACCCACACAATGAACTCAAGCCCCCCAGAAAAAGAAAAAAAGCAAAACAGACACAAAAACAGGATCAAAAGAGAGTAAACAAAATTAAAAATACAGCAAATAACCCAGCAAACAATCCACCCAATAGATCTCTCCCTCTAGTTACTGTTGTCAACCACTAGGCACCCCTTGGGCTGCTGGCTCCCATGTCAATACTATTGTCAGCAATGAGCCAAACAAAAGCCTACTAATGCACCAGGCATGAAGGCAAGTGATAAAGAAAAATCCTATATATATTTTCACATATGCAAAATAAAAGTCTCAACATTATTTGATCTATATTTGCAAGTGGAGGTTAGTACACAGAAGAATACAAAGAAATTGGCTAATAATAAGCCAAAAACGAGATCAAGGAAGTGGCAACTCGTGACATACCAAGTGACCTGGAACAGCAGGACATTCAACAGTGCATCCTATTCGGAAACTACCTCACTGTATCATACAATAAGTAACGGACATAAAGTTTGAACATATAAATGTTTGCATATAATATTACAAATAGTGTAGGATAAACAACCTACACTTAAGTGTTTGCGTATTTTATGTAAAAATTTTAACTACACTAAGTCTGTCACACACACTTGAGTGCATTTATCAAGGTCTGAGCACTGTACTGTATATGGTCAGGACAACTAACCAAGATTAGGCATTGATATGTAAGTCTGGTCCTAACCATGTACTCAGACCTCAGCCCATCCTCATAAACAAAGGCCAAAGTCCATTCCATGCACCATCCAAATCCCGTTTATGAATACAAAAAATTTAATTGTATAAGGAATGAAATATACCGAGGATTTTTTTATATTGTCTGGGCAGACATGCATGCATTTCTGCACTTTAGGGGCTAAGTGTGGTTAGAGTCTTGGTATTATATCACAACGTCAAGTGACGAAACAATGATTTTAGTTGCATAAATATTTTTCCAAGTTGGATTATAAATTCCTGTAATTTTAATTTTATGGTAATGTTTTGACAGTAGTGCAATATGTGCCTATGATATTTGAGTGAAAATCCATCTAATTTTAAAATCTGTAACTAATTTGGTTCATATTATTTGTGGTTCAGATCAAACAGATGTTGAGAAGACACTCTTCTGTTGTGATCATCTCGCCTCAGGTATTTTAACACAACAGAGTTTGAGTTGTGTGGTGCTGTCATTGACTACTTGTGCATGTATGTTGACAAGTTGAGTAAGCTTGTGGAAGCTTTGTATTGAAATGGGTGCTAAGTACCAAACATGTGTGCTTGTAAAAAGTTGAGCTCTTTTCTATTGTAGACAAGTAAATTAGTGTGAAGTGAAATATGATTGCTGTGATTATTACATTTCTTCTCTGCTTGATATCATTTTAAGTTATTGAAGAAATTGCTGTGTGTTACACTGTTGTGTGTTTTTTCACTTACTTCATTCTGGGTAAGTTTATTTAATGCAAAATTAATGATTTTTTTTTTTTTAGGGGGGGGCACTCTTATGGTGGTTTCTTGCTGTCTGGCAAGCTCCATCCAAGACCTGCCAGGCTCTTGCAAGTTTTATATATATATATATATATATATATATATATATATATATATATATATATATATATATATATATATATATATATATATATATATATATATATATATATATTATGCATAATGCATATATATATATATTATGCATATATATATTATGCATTATGCATAATGCATATATATATATTATGCATATATATATTATATATTATGCATTATGCATTATGCATAATGCATAATATATATTATGCATTATGCATATATATATATATATTATTATGCATAATAAAGCACAAAAAATATTCAAGGAAGGGGGTGGTAGGAGAAAAGCACACAGAAACTGTATTGGAGGGGATCTAAACATTCCCTCTAATGCGTTATGCGTGGTTTCCTCCGAGGCTATGGGTCCCCCTTCTTCCAGCTAGAGGTGGTACTCATCTAAATTTATTATATATATATGCAACAATGATCACAAAAATATATATATATATATATATATATATATATATATATATATATATATATATATATATATATATATATATATATATATATATATATATATATAGATATATATGTCGTACCTAGTAGCCAGAACGCACTTCTCAGCCTACTATGCAAGGCCCAATTTGCCTAATAAGCCAAGTTTTCAGGAATTAATTGTTTTTCGACTACCTAACCTAACCTAACCTAACCTAACTTTTTCCGCTACCTAACCTAAATTTTCCGCTACCTAACCTAACCTAACTTTTTCCGCTACCTAACCTAACCTAACCTATAAAGATAGGTTAGGTTAGGTTAGGTAGGGTTGGTTAGGTTCGGTCATATATCTACGTTAATTTTAACTCCAATAAAAAAAATTGACCTCATACATAATGAAACGGGTAGCTTTATCATTTCATAAGAAAAAAATTAGAGAAAATATATTAATTCAAGAAAACTTGGCTTATTAGGCAAATCGGGCCTTGCATAGTAGGCTGAGAAGTGCGTTCTGGCTACTAGGTACGACATATATATATATATATATATATATATATATATATATATATATATATATATATATATATATATATATATATATATATATATATATATATATATATATATATATATATATATAAATAAATAATATGTATGTATGTATATATATATATATATATATATATATATATATATATATATATATATATGTATGTATATATGTATGTATATATATATATATATATATATATATATATATATATATATATATATATATATGTATGTATATATATATATATATATATATATATATATATATATATATATATATATATATATATACATACATATTATTTATTTATTTATTTATTTATTTATTGTGACGGTAAAGCGTTGGTGTTCGGCTGTTTCAAAAGCTAGGGGCAGGGCCTCGTCACATTAAAGAAAAAAAAGAGAAAAAGCTGGAACTTTCGTCTGTGGTAAGGTAATGGGAAGATACACAAAACACAAGTAAATTTAACAATGAAATTTTAATTACGTTAGAAAAACAAGACATGAATAAAATTAAGTATAAAATATAACAGACAAGTCAACAAACAAAATAATAAGAATAATGACTGGCAAATGAAAAGTTACGTTAAGACAAGTGAGTAATAGCAAAATAAATAATAATGATGATGCCGGAATATTGGCTTCGAGCTGCCACCTCCCTTAGTACACGAAAGCCAAGGCTTAGTCTACCAATGAGAGATGTCAACTGCAAGGAGCACTGGAATATTCTGCCTACTCTGGGCCACAGCAGCCCAGACATCAACTTGTGGCGGAGGGTGGAGGGCAGGTGCGACGGGACACCAGCCAATCAGCGACAGGCAGGCGATGGACAAGCAGTTTGCCGGTTTACGGTGGCGGGGCGAGCAGGTGTGCCGGTGTGCTGGATACGTTTTGCTCTCCGGGCAAAACGTTTTGGAGATACTTGCTGGATATATCTTCTATATTATTTGTTGTTGTAACGTACTTTGGAGGGAAGAGCAGGCTCAATCTCTCTTGAAAGAGATTATCGTCACAACTCTCCCCCGAAGCCTGCGGTTCTGGAAGAAGTACGTCGTTATGTGGTGGAGTAATAGGTGGAGTTGCTTCTACTTCATAAACTCTGGAGAGGGCATCGGCTATGATGTTGTCAGAACCCTTGATATAGCGGATCTCCAGGTTGAAATCTTGTAGGTATAAAGCCCATCGTAGAAGATGCAGGTTAGTGAATTGGGCTTGATGTAAGAAGCGGAGAGGGTTGTGGTCTGAGAAGATGGTGGTAGACCTGGCACCTTGTAGGTACGGAGCGAAGTGTTGGAGATTCAGGACGATGGATAGTAGCTCCTTTTCAATAGTGCTGTAGTTCCTCTGGTGGGGTTTCAATTTGTAGCTGTAGTAGCTAACAGGTAGAACCTCCTCGCCTCGTTGCTGCATCAGGACACCACCAACGCCGGTACCACTGGCGTTGACATGAAGGACGAAAGGCTTGGTGATATCTGGCGAGGCGAGAATGGGATTAGAACAGAGGCGGAATTTGAGTTGTTCGAAAGCAACGGTTTGCTGCATGGTCCACTTATACCGTTGCTTGGGACTGGTTAATATGATTAAAGGTGTGGTGACTGTACTGAAATTTCTCACAAACCTACGGTAGTAGGAGGCAAGACCAAGGAAGCGCAGGAGCTGCTTCCTGGTGGTAGGCTGTGGATAATGTTGGATGGCTTGAGTGTGTGAGTTTAACGGAGCTAGGCTGCCACTCCCAATTACATGACCCAGATAACGCACTTTACCTTTCACGAAGGTGGACTTGCCCAGGTTGATGGTGAGGCCGGCTGTCAGGAGCTTGGCGAACAGTCGTCGCAGCTGGAGCAGATGTTCACTCCAGGTGTTGGATGCTACGACGATATCATCCAAATAGGCGTACGTGTTATCCAAGCCCTGGATGACACGGTTGACAGCTCTCTGAAAGGTGGCCGGGGCATTACATAGTCCGAAAGGAAGGCGTTCATATCTGAAAAGTCCAAAAGGAGTGATAAAGGCAGATATTTCTTTGGCTCGCTCCGTTAAGCACACTTGGTAATACCCCTTAAGCAAGTCCACTTGGGACAAGTACTGGGCATTACCAATGGTGTCAAGAATGTCATCTATCCTTGGCAAGGGGTATGCATCCTTGACAGTCACATTATTTAACTTACAATAGTCAGTGCACAGTCTCTCCTTACCTTGGGGTTTTAGCACCAAGATACAGGGTGAGGCCCAGGGGGACTCACAAGGTGTAGCCAGTCCATGATCCAAGAGGTACTGCACCTCAGCACGCATGACTTCCTTCTTGCTAGGGCTGATTCGGTAGAAGGGTTGACGAATCGGCCGGGTGTCAGGGAGCAGTTGGATGTCGTGCTGGGTAACATTACACTCTTGGGGGTCATCTCGGAACAACTCCTGATGTTCTCTGAAGATCTTGACGAGAGGTGCACTATGATTGTCCTGAAAATAGTTTGGAAGGTCAGTAAGGATTTCTGAATTAGAAAGCGCTGACTCCTTGTCAGTGCTTTCGGGAGGAGAAGCAGGGAAGGTCTCACTGTGGATGAATGGTTCTGTAAAAGCAGAGTAGTTAAGCATGACAGTGGGAGGAGTACCGTTATATAGCTTCAGGAGGTTGACGTGGCACAGCTGGGTCTTCCGCCGCCTATCTGGAGTCTCTAGAACGTAGTTATGGTTGTTTCTGCACTCCTTGATACGGTAGGGTCCTGAAAACCTGTTTTGTAAAGGAAAACCTGGGATAGGGAAGTAAGCAAGCACGAAGTCTCCCGGCTTAAATTTTCTTACTTTGCTGGTCTGGTCGTAATGAGTCTTCATCCTCTCCTGTGCTTTCAATAGATTATCTTGGGCAAAACTGTGGACTCTCTCTAGAATGTGTTGAAGGTTTTGAAGAAATTGGGGCACATTCTGATGCTCACTGAAGGTGGCATCACGTAGAGAGTCTTTGAAAGCCTTGAGGGGAGTACGGCACTTACGTCCGTAGAGCATCTCATAAGGAGATACTCCTAGGGACTCATTGGGAAGACTTCTATATATATGCATTATCAGATCTATTTGCTTATCCCAATCCTTAGAGGTTTCACTACAAAACTTTTTCAGGAGTGCTTTAATAGTCTGATGACTACGTTCAAGAGAACCCTGTGAAGCAGGATGATAGGGGCTGGACAATACCTGTTTGATGTTGAACTCCTCCAGTGTCCTTTTGAAGAGATCACTGGTGAAGTTGGTGCCACAGTCGCTCTGAACCTCCCTGGGAAATCCATACTGGGTGAAGATCTTCAATAAGTGCTTCACAACCGTAGCAGCCGTAATGTTCTTTACTGGAACTGCTATGGGGAATCTGGTGGTAGGACACAGGATGGTTAAGATATAGGCGTTACCTGAACTGGTCCGAGGTAAAGGACCAACACAGTCTATAATAAGTCTGTGGAAAGGTTCCGCAGGCACCTGTATGGGAATCAGTGGCGCTCTGGGAATAGAGATGTTCGGTTTACCTGCCATCTGACATGTATGACACTGTTTGACGTACTGTTTGACGCTATTTACCATACCTGGCCAGT